GCAGAAACAGTTCCATTATTGCCTGATTGCATACAAAAGATTTTTTTTTAAATTAAAAATAGAGATGGGGGTCTCACTATGTTGCCCAGGCTGGTCTCAAACCCTTAAGCACAACCGATCCTCCCGCCTTGGCCTTCCAGGATTACAGGTGTGAGCCACTGCACTCAGCCACAAAAGCTAGTTGTAATTGGTTTTGCCACAGACAAACAAAGTTTCTCTCTTCATTCGTTTTCTTAAACTAAGACACCAGCTAAGGGCTGGGTTTTATTTGGGAAAACCTGACCTCTTCCCCTTCCCGGCTTTCCCAGTCACACCAATTCATTCCAAATAGGAGCAACCTTTCTGCCCTGTACTCTCTGTCAACATTGCCAGGTGGAGCTGGGCCAGGAAGGTGACCTTCAGCTACTGACTTCAAAGCTCCCCTCACCGAGTCCTAGCCTGGCAGAGCCACTGCTCTGGGCCTGGAATCCGGAAGGCTGGGCCCAAGGGAGGGCTGCTTTTGGGGCTCCCAGAGTCCGAGGCCTCTGTCAAAGATCTGGTCTTGGGCCAGCTTATACCAGAAAGACCCCGTATCCCTTTGACTCTGCTTGAAATTCTCTTGCTCCAAACACAAGTGCAGACCATGGAAGCCTCTGGCATTTGGCTTTCCTGCCAACCTGGTATTATCAGGTGCCTGGATCTCAGTGTTCACACCTGTAAACTGGAATTCAGGACCCCTGAGGATTCTTCTGGTCCAAATAATCAGACTTACGTATGCCAGACACCCATACCGCCACCTCTGAAATGGTGGTAATGAAATTGCTGCCCCCCTCCCCCCACCAAGGGCTTGCCCCTTCCTCTGCATGGTGGACTTGGGATCTCAGAGGCCTGGCCAGAGGCAGCACTGTAGGTGTGTTCCAGAGTCTGGCCTTTGCCTGCTGAGGGATCAGAGAGGGAGCACTTGTGTTCCTTGTGAGCACAGCAGCAGCTGGGGGCAATTGAGGCACAATCTTTCAACTGCTCCTCACTGCCTGCCTCCAGGCCCCCGGCTCCATACCAGCTTTTCCTGTACAATACCTGTTGGGTGAGGCAGCCAATGTCAGCTCCATTGGCTCATAGGGGTTACCACACTTGCTCAATGTCACACTGCTGGCAAGCAGTAAAACTCCAGTTCAAATCGACATACCTGGCTCATATTCCATTACTGGTTTGTTTGTTTGTTTGTTTGTTTGATTTTGAGACAGGATCTCACTCTTGTTACCCAGGCTGGAGTGCAGTGGCATGATCACGGCTCCCTGTGCCTTGACCTCCCAGGCTTGAGTGATCCTCCCACCTTAGCCTCCTGAGTAGCTTGGACTACAGGAACATGCCACCATGGCCGGCTAATTTTTTTTCTATTACTTTTTTTTCCCTTTCTTTTGAGACAGAGTCTTGCTCTGTCTCCAGGCTGGAGTGCAGTGGCACGATCTCAGCTCACTGCAAACTCTGCCTCCCAGATTCAAGTGATTCTCCTGCCTCAGTCTCCCAAGTAGCTGGGATTACAGGCATGAGCCACCACACCCAGCCCCTCTAGCACTTTTTTAAGGAGAAAGATGGAGAAACCGCAGCCCCTATTTACTATGCTGGTCTGAAATTCCTGGTGCTGGTAGCTGTTAGACCTGAGAGCTGCTGCAGAGAAATATAGTGTATAAAGGGAAAAGCCTCAGATTCTCCCGTCTGGGGTCAGTGGAATTGAACATTCCCACCCCTCCACATTTTCAATCAAACTCCAATTTGTCATTGCATTTAGGTCACGTGCAAGTTCCCTGTGGAAGCACAAACATTTGTATCACTCTTTCCCCACCCTCTGAGAGCCAGACACACATGTATACAATCACCATAAACCCAGGCACAAGAGGAAAGTTACGGCCAGGTTCGGTGGCTCACACCTGTAATCCCAGCACTTTGGGAGGCCAAGGCAGGAGGATTTCTTGAGCTCAGGAATTTGAAACCAGCTTGGGCAACAGAGTGAGATCTTAATCTCTATTAAAAAAAAAAAAAAAAAAGAAAAGAAAAGAAAAAAGAGGGGCGTGCACAGTGGCTCACGCCTGTAATCCTAGCACTTTGGGAGGCTGAGGCAGGTGGATCACGAGTTCAGGAGTTCAAGACCAGCCTGGCCAAGATGGTGAAACCCTGTCTCTACTAAAAATAAAAAAATTAGCCAGACGTGGTAGCACATGCCTATAATCCCAGCTACTCAGGAGGCTGAGTCAGAGAATTGCTTGAACTCAGGAGGCAGAGGTTGCAGTGAGCAGAGATCGCACCATTGCACTTCAACCTGGGCAATAGAGCAAGACTCCATCTCAAAAAATAGAAAAGAAAAAGAAAATGTCCCAAGAGAAGTGTAGGTGACACATGAATCATCTGGCAAGGAGAAAAGCACCTCGGACGCAGAAGCCCCTGGAGAGCCTGGGAGAGGAGCATCCATCTAGCTGCCTCTTCAAAGAGCTCTGAGGTCTGGGGGGAGGCTGGATAGGACAACTGGGAGCGCTCAGGGACCCACATTTCTTGTTCCTTTTTCTTTTTTCTTTTTTCTTTTTCTTTTGAGACAGAGTCTTGCTCTGTTGCCCACGCTGGTGCGCAGTAGTGTGATCTTGACTCACTGCAACCTCTGCCTCCTGGGTTCAAGTGATTCTCCTGCCTCTGCTTCCTGAGTAGCTGGGATTACAGGCATATGCCACCACATTCGGATAATTTTTGTATTTTTAGTAGAGACGGGGTTCCCCATGTTGGCCAGGCTGGTCTCGAACTTCTCACCTCAGGCGATCCACCCACCCCGGCCTCCCAAAGTGCTGAGATTACAGGCATGAGCCACTGCGCCCAAACTCCTTTTTTTTTGAGATGGAGTCTTGCTCCATTGCCGAGGCTGGAGTGCCACAGAGTGATCTTAGCTCACTGCAACCATCGCCTCCTTGGTTCAAACGATTCTCTTGGCTCAGTCTCCCAAGTAGCTGGAATTACTGGCACAAGCAACCACGCCAGTATTTTTGTTTTTGTTTTTGTTTTTGTTTTTGTTTTTGAGACAAGGTCTCACTCTGTTGCCCAGGCTGGAGTGCAGTGGTGTAGTGGTGCAATCTCAAGTCACTGCAGCCTCGACCTCCCGGCTCAAGCAATCCTCCCACCTCAGCCTCCTGAGTAGCTGGGACTACAGGTGCATGACTGGCTAACTTTTGTATTTTTTTGTAGAGACAGGGTTTCAGCACGTTGCCCAGGCTGTTCTCAAACTCCTAGGCTCAAGTGATCCTCCCACCTTGGCCTCCCAAAGTGCTGGGATTACAGCCAGCACTTCAGGGCATTCATTTTGTGGTGTGCAATAGGCAGACAGTAACATCTAGCAAGAGTGGTGAGAGGGTGTTAGGATGGAGCCTGGGGAAGGGAGATAAGTTCCTGAGCCAGGGACAGGCCTGATACAGGGTCTTGGCAGAACCCCCAAGAGGGACAGGACTCCAGAGATGGTGTGGAGGAGATAGAATCAGCAGGAATTCTACCTGGCCGGACGTGGGGCACAGTTGGGGGAGGAGTCAGAGTGACTCAGACTTACATCTCTGGGGCTGGAAGAATGGCACAGCCGTGATTAGAAATGGGAGAATAGGAGAGAGTTGTGGGAGAGGCATTGGCAGCAGAGCTATTTATGGTCATCTCCAAACTTATTTCCCTGCCAGCTGTCTGTGCCCCCTCCCCCACCCCATCTGCCCACTTGCTGCTTCCAGCACTGTCCTCCTAAAGCCCAGCCCTGAGCAGTTCAGATACCCACAGGAGCTTCCCATGCTACCCACAATCAACTCTAACAGTCCATGGCCTTCGCTCCCTCTCCTCTCCTCTCTTCTGCTCTTTCCCTCTCCCCAGGATCCCTAAATGCAGTGTTCTCCTGAATTGTCACTACCTCTGTGTCCTTGTGTTGTCTCCTCCCTCCACCAAACAGGTTCTTTGCTGCCCACAGACGGACCCAACTCACACTTAGTGACCGCTATGGACTGAATGTTTTTTCGTTTTGTTTTCTCTTTCTTTTTTTTTGAGATGGAGTCTTGCTCTGTCGCTCAGGCTGGAGTGCAATGGTGTGATCTCAGCTCACTCCAACTCTGTCTCTCAGGTTCAAGCAATTCTCCTGCCTCAGGTTTGGTCGACTACCGCAGGAGTCTTAGGGAGCCTTGTACATATGCTAGTTACTCATTCACCAACATTAAACCCTAGGACAGAAGGTGCAACAAAGCAGGACTCCTTCCTCAATGGAATGTGCTGATTTTAGACAAGGTGGCAGCCAACGAAGAAAACGCTGGAATTTTCCCTTGAAGGGGACAGTGATGAGAGGCGCTTGCCATGAACATCAGCTACTGTTTTTTTTGTTTTGTTTTTTTTTTTTTTTGGAGGTCTCCCACTTTATTGGTATCAATTACCTGGAGAGTTTGTTAGAAGGGTAGATCCCCAGAACCTCCCCCTGCCTCCCCCGCCACCACCACCACCTCCTCCGAAGTCCTGAGCAGCTGGAGGTACACAGTCATGTTGAAGGGGGAGGAGAACTAATAGATTCTACCTGAGGCAAAAAGATGAAGGAAAGGAACAAAGAAAAAGGGCTGAAAAAAGGTCTATGAATACATGGGCAGAAATGAGCAAAAGCACAGAAGAACCATAAAATAGCAAACAGGGCTCATGCAGCTGAGTGGAACAGCAGCAGTCAGGCATATGACCTTGGTGAGAAAGCACCATGTGGGGCATGAGGCTTCATAAATCCTGGTTCTCCCTGGAGTCGCTGCTTTTAGACACCAGGTTAGCCACACAAAATTCTCAAAAAAAAATTCCAGAATATCAGGCTGGGCAAATGGGTCAACATATAAGAAAGAATGACTGCAAGGCAGCCCAGGTGTAGTCCCGTAACACCCTATGGATGCAGCAGCTGTGGGGGTCTCAAGATCAGACAAACTGGTCCTGGTACCCCAAAACTAAGTATGAGCTCACTGGCAGAATTCTTCCAAGTGCAGTGAACGTCAGTGTCGGCTCCGGCGCTTTGCAATCTCCTTCTGGATATGCAACTGGAGGGCTTCTCGCATGGGTGGATCCAGAGGCTTGCGCGCCGACATCTCATCCCGCTGCATCATAACTGATGTGACCTCTCCACTGTCTGCCTCGTACTCCAAGCAGAAGAGCTGACAGCCAGAAGGCTCCAGGTCGGAGCCTGCACTACTGCTGCTTTCACCCGACTCTTCAGCGTCTAGGCTGCTTGGGTGGGCGGAGACATCTCCTGGTCGCAGCAGGTACACCCGCAGGTCTAGCTCACGGGGCCCAGTCGGCGCGGGCATGTGCCGCGTCCTCACCTTCTCCTTGGCCGCCTGCTTCACCTTCTTGTCGCAGTCGTCCCGGGCGATCGGGTTCCGTCGGATATCGTGCACGAAGCCGTGGTTCATGTCCAGCCGCCCGCGAGGCCTGCAGCAGTGCCCAGGCCAGGGATGCGGCCCTGTCTCCATCCCGAGCCGGGGGCGCAGAGTCGCTGCCGCCTCGACGGCCCCAGCAACCGCCACCCGCCCAAAGAGATCCGCGTCGCCCCTCGTTCAGCTTCCGGCCCCGCGCCCTGACTTCCAGAAGCTACCATCTTTTCTTTTTCTTTCTTTGTTTCTTTTGTTGTTGTGTGTGTGTGTGTTTTGTGTGTTTTTTTTTTTTTTTTTTTTTTAAGACAGAGTTTCGCTCTTGTTGCCCACGCTGGAGTGCAATGGTAGGATCTTGGCTCATCGCAACCACCGCCTCCCGGATTCAAGCAATTCTCCTGCCTCCGCCTCACCCGAGTGGGTGGGATTACAGGCATGCGCCACCACACCTGGTGTATTTTTAGTAGAGCCGGCGTTTCTCCGTATTGGCCAGGCTGGTCTCGAATTCCATACCTCAGGTGATCCGCCTGCCTCGGCCTCCCAAAAGCGCTGGGATTACAGGCGTGAGCCACCACGCCTGGCCATCTACTGTCTTTTCTTTGACCCTTCATTTCCAGTTTTTGAAGATAAAAGAGGAAATAATCTTCTCTGATGATACTTGATAAAAAATTCCCCCAAAAGCAAAAACACATGCCTCCACTTCACTGATGAAAATTGACTGCAGTTTGGCACCTGGGTCTGGTTCAACTGGCAGATGAGCTGATTGTCGTGTTCAGGCCGATAGCCAGGTGTGCCCATGTCCTTGAGGAAGCCTGCTCTATTTTTGGTAACAAGACAGGCCACTGAGAGGTGGAACGGGCGCAAGAACCACGTAATCTCCTGGAAATGCTTCCCTGGGAAAGCAATTTCATGAATGAGGTCTTCCAAGGAAATGCCACCAAACTTCCCCAGGTACACCTCAATCGCTGTGTTGTCTGTCGGAGGAATGGCCTTATTCTTGACCTCGGCTTGTTCGTGTTTCAAAATGAGTTCCTGGATACACTTCAGATTTGGAAATCCCCAGGTCATGTAAGTTTCCACTATACACAGCATTTTTAGGTTCTGGGGAGTGACTTTTACATAGACTTCTCCAAAAATGTTCTTTAGGCAAAGTCTTGCCTTAAGACTTTATGGTTCTCTGCACCAGTAAACTCAGGCATCAGTCCTTTCAATGCCTACAAACAAAGGCCAGGGAATGTTGATCTGGAAATTCCAAGGCGTGAAGTTTCACTTCTTGTCATCTGAGATGCACCTTGTCACATTTCTGCTGCCAGGACTCAGGTAGGAATGACTCCAGTTGCTTAAACCTGGCCCTTTTCCTTTCCTCCGCTCCTCCTTTGCCGAAAGTGCCTGCTTTGCTTGGGTGGCTTTGAGGGCTCAATAAGCCTTCCTCTTTTTCAGGAGATTTTCTGGAACCAAAGCGGTTTTTTCTTTGCTCTTGCTCCGCCATTTTCCTAGTGCTCTAATGTAAGCGTGTTTTTAAGTTACAAACACATAGAATTTAGGAGCTGTCTTTTTGATAGTGGTTTTATATTTTATTGCACTAGGTCTCGCTAAAGAAAAAATGATTCATGGCACTTGTTAAAGATGGCAAGGCAGATTTTATCCAAGGTGAGCCATGGTGATAGGTATAGGGACCACTGTGATCGGGTCTTGTAGTGGGGCAGAGAGTGGACTCACTCCAACTCTGACAAGGACAGGTGGGGATCTGTAACCAAGGAGTGGGGGTTGGGTGTCAGTGGATGGAAAACTACTAAAAAGAAATATGGAGGATGAAAGGGCTTCTGTTCTGGCTAAACTGACGGATAGCATTATTGCTCAAGGCAGGCCAGGGTGATAAAATATCAAGGGGGCTCAGATACTAAGGTTGGGGTCTACCTGCCTGCCTGCCTGCCTGCCTGCTTTCCCTCCTTCCCTCCTTCCCTCCTTCCTTCCTGCCTTTCTTTTTCTCTTTCTTTTTTATTGAGACAGGCTCTCACTGTGCCACCCAGGCTGGAGTGCAGTGGCATGATCTCGGCTCACTGCAGCCTCAACCACCTGGACTCGGGCGATCCTTCTGCCTCAGCCTCCAAGTAGCTGGGACCACAGGCATGTGCCCCTACACCCGACTAATTTTTTTGTATTTTTTGTAGAGATGGGGTTTTGCTGTGTTGCCCAGGCTGATCCACCCACCTTGGCCTTGCACAGTGCTGGGATTACAGCCACAAGCCAGAGCCTGGCCCAAATTTTGTTAAAGTGACTTAGCAGGTCATTTGCTCAAACTGGATTCTACAAAGATAGGGAGAGAAGCCCAATGTGAGGCCTACGGAGGCAGTGGGCTCAGAGGAGGCTGACTGAACTTTTGGCCAGAGGAATCCTTTGTTAGTTTATAATGTGTTCTCTTTGGGATTTACTGACTCTTCTTTGGTGGTCCAATATGTGGTCAAATTTGTACAGTTAGGTGTTTTTGTTTTGTTATTTGACATAGGGTCTCACTCTATCACCCAGGCTGGAGTGCAGTGGCATGATCTCGGCTTACCACAACCTCCGCCTCATGGGTTCAAGTGAGAATTGAACCTCGTGGGTTCAATTCTCCTGTCTCAGCCTCCCTAGTAGCTGGGATTACAGGTGTGCACCACCATGCCTAGCTACTTTTTGTATTTTTATTAGAGACAAGGTTTGGCCATGTTGGCCAAGCTAGTCTCCACCTCCTGACCTCAGGTGATCCGTCCGCCTTAGCCTCCCAAAATGCTGGGATTACAGGCCTGAGCCTCTGCGTCTGGCCCTCGGTATTCTTTTTGTTGTTGTTTTGTTTTTAGCAGAGACAAGGGCTTGTTGTGTTGCGTTGCCCAGGCTGTTCTTGAATCAAGTGATACTCCCACTTCAGCCTCCCAAAGTGTTAGGATTACAGGTGGGAGCCGCTACACCCAATCTTTTTTTGTTGGTAGACAGGTTAGAGTGCAGTGGTATGATCACAGCTCATTGCAGCCTTGACCTCCTGGGCTCAAGCAATCCTTCCAACTCAGCCTCCCAAGTAATGCCACTGAAATCCATGTTCTTATAAGTTTGTTTTTCATTTGTTTGTTTGAGAGTCTCACACTCTCTCCCAAGCTAGAGTGCAATGGTGCAATCTTGGCTCACTGCAACCTCTGCTTCCTGGGTCCACGCGATTCTCCTGCCTCAGCCTCCTGAGTAGCTGGAATTACAGGCGCACAGCACCACATCTGTCTAATTTTTTTTTTTTTTTTTTTTTTAGTAGAGACAGGGTTTCACTATGTTGGCCAGACTGGTCTCAAACCCCTGACCTTATGATCCACTTGCCTCAGGCTCCCAAAGTGCTGGGATTACAGGCGTGAGCCACCATGCCCAGCCCTGTTCTTATAAGTTTTGATAAGCTACCTGTTTCTAAGAAAGATGTTAAGGTTGCCCAGTGTGATTGTGAATGTGTTTATTTCTCTTGGTAATTCCATCAATTTGTGCTAGTTATATTTTGAAGTTTTGTTAAGTGTTATGCTCATGCCTTTTGTATTTTTCTAGTAAATTACTCCAGTTATAATTCAATAATGATTCTCTTCAAACCTAAATTTGCTTTTTGCCTTAAGATTTATTTTGAACTGGCCGGGCACGGTGGCTCAAGCCTGTAATCCCAGCACTTTGGGAGGCCGAGGCGGGTGGATCACGAGGTCGAAAGATCGAGACCATCCTGGTCAACATGGTGAAACCCCGTCTCTACTAAAAATACAAAAAAAAAACTAGCTGGGCGTGGTGGTGCATGCCTGTAATCCCAGCTACTTAGGAGGCTGAGGCAGGAGAATTGCCTGAGCCCAGGAGGCGGAGGTTGCGGTGAGCCGAGATCGCGCCATTGCACTCCAGCCTGGGTAACAAGAGCGAAACTCCGTCTCAAAAAAAAAAAAAAAAAAAAAAAAAAGATTTCTTTTGAACTATTATATATTGCTACACCAGCTTTACAGTGCTTGTTATTTGCCTCATACAACTTTTTTTCATGTTTTACATGCACCCACAATGTAGCTGAGTTTTGGCTTTGTAGCATACTTTGAAAATCTGTCTTTAATAAACATATTTACACTGTTCACATTTATGGAGATTGCTGAACATTTTTTACATTTCTACCACTTTATTATTTTTTTCTTTTCTTTTCTTTCTTTTTTTTTTTTTTTTTTTTTGAGATGCAGTCTCGCTCTGTTGCCCAGGCTGGAGTGCAGTGGCATGATCTCAGCTCACTGCAACCTCCGTCTCCTGGGTTCAAGTGATTCTCCTGCCTCAGCCTCCTGAGTAGCTGGGATTACAGGCATGCCCCACCACACCTGGCTCATTTTTGTATTTTTAGTAGAGACGGGGTTTCTCCATGTTGGTCAGGCTGGTCTCAAACTCCCGACCTTAGGTGATCCACCTGCCTCAGCCTCCCAAAGTGCTGGGATTGCAGGTGTGAGCCATCACCCCCAGCCTCATTTCTACCACTTTATTTTGCACTTTCTATTTGCCATGCTTTTCTTTTGCTTATTTATTTATTTATTTATTTTTGAGACGGAGTCTCACTCTGTTACCAGGCTGGAGTGCGGTGGCACAATCTCGGCTGACTGCAACCTCTGCCTCCTGGATTCAAGTGCTTCTCCTGCCTCAGCCTCCTGAGTAGCTGGGATTGCAGGTGCTCACCACCACGTTCAGCTAATTTTCGTATTTTTAGTAGGGATGGGGTTTCACCATGCTGGCCAGTTTGATCTCAATCTCCTGACCTCGTAATCTGCCTGCCTCAGCCTCTCAAAGTGCTGGCATTACAGGCTCGAGCCACGGCCCCTCGCCTTTTAAAATTTGTTATGGTGTTTTATTTCTTTTGAGACAAGGTTGGAGTGCAGTGAGTAGTGTGATCATAGCTCACTGCAACTTCAAACCTCTAGGTCAAGGGACCCTCCCACCTCAGGCTCCCAAGTAGCTGGGACTATACTCCCATGTTACCATGGCTGGCCACCTTTTGCTGCTTTTCACATCCTTTTAAGCCCTCTATAGGATCAGTCAAGATTTCTTTATTCTCCTCTTCCTCCCTTAATGGGTGTGTAAATTTTATGTTCTATTTCTACTTGTTTAGAAATTAAATTCAGACTTGGGGGCCCACATCTATAATCCCAGCACTTTGAGAAGCT